TTTCTGCACCTTGTTAGGCCTTGTGCCCACACTTCCTCACTTGTTGTAGGCTTTGTTTGTACTGTGATCTATATGTATACCTGCATGCTTGCTCTTGTAGGTAGATATGTCTGTGCTGTTCTTGTTACATATATATCCCTGCATGTGAACTGGCCTTCTGGCCCTTTGCTTGTGCTCAGACTGCGTGGTGACGTTGTGATCCACCCTGAGCTTGCTTTGCACTTCCTGCCCGGCCTTGTGACCCGCTGTTCTCCCCCACTTTGCCTATGGGGGTGTGTCAAACATATGTTTATATGTTTCAGTTTAGGTAGGCTTAGTGGGGTACTCACTGTGGGGTACAACCCCTTAGGCTTTTCCTTGTTGTACCAACTCTCTCGATAGTTCAATCCACCTTGCCTAAGTCTTAACAGCGCCGGCAGCGGACGCGACGCGCGGGGCTGCAGCGCGACGCGCGGGCAGCGGGCGCGACGCGCGGGGCGGCGCTCTGGCCTGACGGGCCTGCAGGTGCGGCTCGCGGGCCTGACGGGCCTGCAGGGGCAGCTCGCGGGCCTGACGGACCTGCAGGGGCAGGTCGTGGGCTTGACGGGCCCGCAGGGGCGGCTCGTGGGCTTGACGGGCCTGCAGGGGTGGCTCATGGGCTTGACGGGCCTGCAGGGGCGGCGCGCGGGCTTGACGGGCCTGCAGGGGCGGCTCGTGGGCTTGACGGGCCTGCAGGGGTGGCTCGTGGGCTTGACGGGCCTGCAGGGGCGGCGCGCGGGCCTTACAGGCCTGCAGGAGCGGCGCGCTGGCCTAGGGCAGCAGTAGGCAGCGCGAGGGCTGCAGGACGGCGCGCACAGCGCAGCACGTCACAAGGCAAGGCAGACAGGACAACACGTGGGGTAGCGCGGTAACCGCAACGGTAGGTGGGCCCGAAAAAAAAAAAACGGTCCTACGGACCTAGTGCTCTGAAACCATGTTAGAATCTAGCAGCAGGAATGAATGAACTATGAAATAGTTGGGTACAAATGTGAAACCCTAAAAGGGGTTGTACCCCATATTGGCTACCCCACTACAGCCTAAACATATACGGCAGATATATCATTTGACAAATACATCCTCCGCGGTGCCGGCCTCAGTGCCGGCCTCGGTGTCAGGCTCTGTGCCACCCTCGGCGCTGTTGTCGCTATCAGCGTGCCATTCTTCCTCGGCGTCAGGCACTTCGTCGTCAGCGCCGACTGCAGATTCGTCCCACGTGTTGTCTTCTGGCTGGCCCCAACGTGGTGCCGGCGCCGGCGCAGGAACCCACACATTGGGGCCCTTGTTAGAATCCGGTTTCGAAAGGTACTCGTCGAACGCCGATGGGAGCAGGAGCGTGAGCACGGGGTGATTGTCGGTGACGTGAGGAGACACCGAACACGCTGGAGACGGATGAACAGGAGGAGCAGGAGGCAGCGGAGATGCAGGAGGCGCCGGAGGAGCAGGAGGCGCAGGAGGCTGTGGTGGCTGGTGGGTCTGGTGGTATACGGCTATACCACCCGTCAGCTGTAACACGATACGCGGGCCTACTGGTAGGTTTCTTCTTGAAGAGAAAATGCGTGCCTGTGAATTCCGCCATGGCTTCCGCAGCCAGGCGGGCGAGAAAACAAAACTGAATGGAAAGCTGCAAGAATGGATGAAGAAATGAGAGATTGAAGGGGACCCCTTCATGTTTGCGGCTCGGGGTCCTCGTCAATGAGACGAGTCCACCCCTGCCTGAACCCGCAGAGGAGGGTTCGGGGCACCATATATGCTGCGCTGGCATGGCAGATTACATCCCCTTCTGGAGGGTTCTGCTGAGATGCTCGTGTCTAGCAGCGCATGACAACCTGATTCGGCCGCACGGCAGGTATCGCGTCAGCGCTGGCATGTGCGTTGCTCCTGGACAGGTTTTGTGCGGTGGGAAATCGAATCGCGGCAAGTTTCGCCGTGATTCCATGCACGACCCCACGCGCATAGTACAGTGTTGTATTCGCCTTGGGCTTCAATTTGGTATCCTCAAAAGCAAAATTCATTTTTGCCATTATAAAAGCGCCAGCGCTTTTGGCCCTTAATTACCGTACAAGCGCCCCCCCCTTAAAAAATGATTTTATTATAAGCGCATATGCGCTACTATCCAGGGCCAGACGGTACACCCACAACATTCCACTCGCAAGATCTCTTTTTACTTGAGTGTATGAGACAATATGCCTAGTCTACATACGCGCTCACTGTCAGCATTTTCTTCTGTACCAAGGCTGATGCATCAACCTGGTCCAGAACGAATCTAGGGGCCTGCCCACCCCCCAGTCCATCTGGAGTGCCTCTTGTGCGGCACTCTTTTTTTCCACGAATTGATGATCACCTTCAGCAGAAGCACCGTAACAAATACTTGATGACGAAAACCACACATTACACTGAATTCCACTACCCAACCTGCACACATGCAGCTACCTAACCCTCCCATACCCAATCCCCCTCCCCCCCCCCTCCTCCGCACACAGTACAGTACACCCCTCCCAACAGCATCACCAAGACACATACTTCTGCAACCAACTCCGCAAACAGCGCAAGCTGCAAGCAGCATCGACGGCAGTGGCGGCCACGGCAGCAGCAGCAAGAGTAGCAGCAGCGGCGGCGGCGGCGGCGGCGGCGGCGGCGGCCCAGGGAGACGATTTTGAAGGAGCCTAAAAGATCACCCCACGCACCCCCTTGCCAGACCACCATACTCCACTCACCGAGAATGTCCCCCGGCTTCACAGCAGGAGGCGTCCACAGGTTGACTCCCCCACTCTCAGTGGCTCACTTCCTAAGGAACCTGATCAATGGCAGCAGCAGCGGCTGTGGGGGAGGGGGAAGAATTGGAGAAGTCATTTCCTAAGGAACCCGATCATCACTGGCAGCGGCTGTGGCTTTGCGACGTCTCAAAACAGCGGCTGTGGGGGAGGGGGAAGAATGGGGAGAAGGTGTGTAAAGCAATGAGGGCGTATGTCACAGGTTGACTCCCCCACTCCCAGCGGCTCACCGGGCTGCCCTGCAGGAACCCAACCATCACTGGCAGGCAGCGGCTGTGGGGGAAAGGAGCAAGGGCAGTTGAGGAAATGAGGGGGTTCCTCTCCAGCTCCAGTGGCTCACTGTGATTCCCTGCAGGAACCCGATCACCGCTGGCAGGGGCTGCGGGGAAGGGAAGAGAGGCAAGGAAGCATGCAGGGGTGCAGAGCGGTGAGGGAGGCTTCCACAGGTTGACTCCCCCGCTCCAGTGGCTCACCAACGGCTGAATTCGACCCGACCATCACTAGCAGCGGTTGTGGGGAAGAGGATGGGGGAGGGGCAATAAAGCATGGGCAGAAGCGGTGCAAAGTGGTAGGTTTTTCTTTTGCAAGTTGACTCCACTCCACCGCTCCAGTGGCTTACTGGGTTGCTTTGCAGAATCCCGGTCGTCACTCCAGGGTCTGTGGGGGAGGGGAGGGAAGAGAGGGTGCAAGAGCAGGTACGGTGTGAGAGGGATGTAGTGGGGAAAAAACATGCACGAGAAGTGCACCAAGCAACATTTGATGGGAGGAGGCATATGGGAGTGGTATATGGGAAGTGCATGCAAAGGAGGATGCACGGAAAGTTTGTAAAAAGAGGCACACGCGAAATGAGGTGCAGATTCAATTCATGGCATCATTTTGTGAAGAGACTCGTACCGGGCTTGGGGTGCATTTGCAGACTGTGGTGGTACATAGAATCAGAAAGCATAGCATGAGATGATGCAATCACGAGTCTGGGGAATGAAGAGTGAAGATTTTACCTGGGCATATACTGCACGTGCACACACAACAGCGAGAAGAACACAGGGAGGGGGGAAACATCCATAAGAGTGCGTCACTTTCCAGTGTAACAGTTACCACTTCAAGTTGCGGTGGAAGTGCTCAAATGAAGGGGAATCAAAGAAAACAAGGTCAGCAGGTTCCCAAGGGAAATGTAGTGTCAAGTCCATAATAATGGAAGTAATAAGCTTCAATTCTAACAACAGCGAGTGTCAGGTGCTTACTGGCGACGGTTGCTGCGCCTGCGAGGAGCAGCAAATTCAGAGGGGCCATCCCATCCGTCCACACAGACGCAGACGATATGATCGCAATGCGATGATGGTGGGCCGAAATGGCAACAGCGACAGCACCAGGTGTGCAACTGGAAGTTATGGCAACATCGGTAACGCCAGGTGTGTCTGACGCTCTTGAGGTGAGTGACACCAGGTGCAACTGGAAACTGTGGAACCACAGCAGCTCCCACTTGCTCTCGAGGCAGCCAGCATCAATATCGTTATCTGGAGCCTGAAGTCTTTCTGCCACTCTTCACCTCAGCTGACAGTGTGCGTGAGCAGGACAGACAGTGAGCCAGTTGTGATGTGTGTGGTGAGTGTCTGACGTGTGTGGTGAGTGTCTGACGTGTGTGGTGAGTGTCTGACGTGTGTGGTGAGTGTCTGACGTGTGTGGTGAGTGTCTGACGTGTGTGGTGAGTGTCTGACGTGTGTGGTGAGTGTCTGACGTGTGTGGTGAGTGCCCAGTGCGTGTTGTGAGTGCCTGGTGTATGTCACATTCAAATTAAGAACATGAAGTTTCTTTTCATGACCCCATACTACGGTATATTTCAACTCCTTCAGCAAAAGCATGGTAGCAGCAGATATATGTGCGATTACAGAATAACCAAAGCAAAGGAGCACCCAGTTCCAATACTAACCCTGTACAGCACACTCGCCCACCTAACCCTTCCACCCCCCCCCCCCCCCCCACACACATACCTCTTCCAGCAGCATCACCAGGACAGAACTACGGTATTAAGCAACCAACTCTGCAAACCGGACCAGTTGAAAGCCACACCATCATCAGCAGCAGCACCACCAGCATCTACAGCAGTGACCTCACCAACAACAGAAGCACCGACAGCAGCAGCAGAAGCAGCGTAGTGAGTGACTTGCCTGCCACTACCCACTCCACTCCGCCGTGCCATCTCCCATCTCCCACTTAAATCATCGTTTTCGCGGTGTTGACGAACGAGCCAGCGCCCGCCTGCAGGGCACCCTTGGCGCCCTTGCCGCTGCGGAACGCGTTGACTGCAGCCGTGAGCGCCTCCTTGCCGCCCTTCTTCACCACATTCTTCACCAACCCTCCCGCCTTCTGCCCCGCCTCGCTCTTCGCCGCCTGATTCGCCGCGTTCTTGATCTGCTTCCACGTCAGCAGCACCCGCACCGCCTCGTCCAGCCCGTCCGTCGCCTCCCCAGCCTCCTCCTCCTCGCCACCCACGTCCAGGTCACCGCCGCTCGCTTCCAGCAGCTTGCGGCCCCAACTCGCCGCGTCCACGCCTGCGCTTCCCCCAGCAGCAACGTCGCCCCGCACTGGCGCGGACGCGGCATAGAGTGCGGGGAGAGAGACGAGGACCAAGGCGAGGACGAACACGGTGCGAAGAGTAGCCATGGTTACGAGCGATTTAGAGAGCGTAGGAGCGTCGGATTATAGAGGAGAGCACTGCGAACGACGATGAAGATCAGATTTGGGTGATTTTCGAGCACTGAGAGAAGCACTCAGTTGGTGATGGTGGATGGCGGAATGGAGGTTGGTTCGCCAGCATGATGGTCGCCCTCCCAGCATCGCGCGATTATTGCTGCCATGGCTCCGCCGCAAAACTCGCAACATCCGGAGAAAGCTGTACTACTTCTGGGGTGTGGCAGAGGCAGTCGAGTTGGACGGCAGCGCGGCAATAATGGATTGGTTCAACTCATCGCCTCACTGGCATAGGGTCTCGCCTCGCCAGGTCGCCAACAAGGGATTTTTTCGAGAGCAGAAGGTGAGGGTTGGGTGGGGAGGAGAGGAGAGGAGTGTGCCGTCTGTACCGTCGTACGCAGTAACCTAGTTCTCTCATTATTGTTCGCATCATGGCGCCGCACAATGCGCAAAGAGAGACTGTCGCGTGGGGCGTTGGATGCGGCACGCTGGTCAACGAGGACTTGAGTCGAGAGCTCAATGCCAAGAGAGCTCCGAGATCAGCGGCGGCAATAATGGCTTCTGGTGGGAAAGAGTTTTTCGAAGGGGACGAGGCGTGGTGTTGGTGAGCGCGTTCAGCGGGAGAATGGCTTGTGTGCGAACCAGCTCTAGTCGAACGCCAGCCACTTCGATGATGCGTCGGCGAACAGCTCGACGAGAAGCGAAACCAGTTACTTTTGTAAAAATGGTCGGGCAATCGAAACTTCCAGTGTTCAAACGCATGCATCTAGAAAATGCCATCGAACGAAGCCCAGGTAACTTCTCGTTTCGTTTCTCGTCGACCGATTCGCTGATACGTTGTTGGGCTTGTTGCTTTCGTTGGGATCGAGCTGGCTGTGAAACCAGCCCTTCTCCAAACCGAACATGCTCCCGAGTCCCGAGCACTCCCTCCTGTTGGAGAATCGAGTTTCTGCCGCCCCAGCCGTTTGCACACAAGCAGCAGCAAGGGGGAATGTCGGCGATGAATCAGAGCGTCGGGAAGTACTTCGAAAGTTCCACCACCAATCAGATTTCAAACGAAGACTCGATATAGTTCAAAGCTGCCTTCAAACCGAAGTGTTGGCAGTTTCTACAGGTTTCTACACATCAGAATCAGCTATAACAGAAATATCCAGAGTTTTCTTATTCATGCACCTCATGTGGCACTCAAACTCACTCAAGGTCCATCCAATCTAGATTGTGCCCAAGTTACCAGGGAAGTTACATTGTCTATCAGCCTAGTTTGAGCTTTCAATCTGTCTTGTTTGTGATGCCTAGAGTTGTGCTTTAGTGGGCTAGTTAATCTTGAACATAGTGAAGTTTTACCTCATCCAGTCAATTCCAGCAGCCCTGCTAAGACTTTCCAGCCAAGTTTCCAGCCCTCCAGTAGTCACAGCTACTCTGTTTTACAAGTTGGTATCAGAGCTTGTCGTTTCGATCAACCTAGCCCACCACGTTCCTATCCTAGCACCATACGAACATGGCGGGAGACAATCCATCTGGTCCTGCACTCCAGCCAGCCGGAGGAGCTTCAGAGTCAACATCAGCAGCTACTGGATTAGTGGAAGCAGTTGCACCAGGCAGTCCTTCAACAACATACTCACCACTCACCTCCTTCATGCCTAAGCTTCACCTCCCCAAGTTCAACGGCAAAGATTTTCCAACATGGGCAACTCAGTTTGAGCTCACTGCATCCCTTCTGGATCTGTGGCCTTACTACACTGGAGAAGCAGCCAAACCAGCAGCAGATGCTTCAGAAGCTGAAAAACGACTTTACGAACGACGCAACAAGGAGGCCTTCCTCTACCTACTCAATAGCATTCACGAGCAGCAGTTGAAGTCGCTCCTGCCCTGTTCTACCAAGGCAAACAGTGCAGAGGAAGCATGGAGCCGACTGAAGACTATGCACCAGTCAAAATCCGAGAGCAGCCAAGCCGAGATGTGGAGCCGCTTCATGAATCTGAAGATGGAAGAAGATGAATCAGCACAAGCCTACCTACAACGAGCTGAAGCAATGCTGGAGGAAGCAGCAGCGATCGGCTTGGAGATTCCAGAGTCTCTTTTCAAGACCGTCATCCTCACCGGCCTTACACCGGAGTGGGACACTTTCCGTGCAACACTACAAGCGCTCCCGCAGTCAATGAAGAGTCGTGCATTCATCTTTGAGGCCCTTGTCAACGAGCAGCAGAGTTGAGACCTTGCACGGAACAAGCGGAGTGACGAAGGTGCGTGGAGTGCTGCAGCAGCCACAAGATATGGCAACCAATTCCAGAGGCAAGGAAATTTCAGCCCAAACCGCCCTCAACCCTACTACGGTACGAAATTTCAGTCACCTTCCAACCCATACAAACCCTCTCGTTTTCCTCAGTCAAGTCCTCCCTATAAGTCCAGTCACTATGTCCAGCCAAGGCCTTCGATTCCCAATCAATACCAGCCTAGGAATGCAAGAGTCAATATGCCAAGAGTCAATAATTTCAGCCAAGCCCCGAATGCTAAAAAGTTTAATTTTGAGTGTTTTTGTTGTCATGAGTGGGGTCACCCGTGGTATGCTTGTCCTAAGAAGCCTCCTAATTGGGTCCCCCCACCTCAGCTACTATCTGAAAAAGGTAAGGCAGCCATAGCAAATATAGCAAGTCATTCTACAAGTCAAGATGAGTCCAAAGAGTCCGATGGTCCTGTCCTTTTTAACGCTGCTACTTGCATGCACGTTTTCTCTACTAGTAGTGAGGAGTTTATTCTTGATAGTGGCTGCTCTGAAACCATGACTCCCTATCAGTCCATTCTCAAGGATTTTCAGCCCTCATATGACTCAAAAGCTGTGACTCTTGCTGATCTTGGCAAAGTACCAATCAAAGGAGTCGGCAAGCTTGAGTTCGAAAAGGATGGTAAGTCATTTTGTGTCAATAAAGCTTTGTTTGTTCCTGATTTGGGAGCAAACTTGCTCTCAGCCGGACAACTCGAAGAGAAAGGTGCCTCCGTTCTCTTGCAAGGGGGGAAAGCCAAAGTGTGGGACAGTGCAGGAGATCTGGTGGCTGAAGGCGAGCGTACCGGGCGGCTCTACAAGATGAAGTTGGAGATTAAGCGCGGTGCTAGCAACACGAAGAACGACGTTGTCTCGCTTCCCGCTGTTTCAACCGATCAAGTCAACAACAAAGGGAGTATCTCCCAAGCTGAGGTATGGCATGCACGCTTGGGGCACGTGGGAGTGCAAGCATTGAAAGAGTTGGTAAATCACAAGAGCGTGGAAGGATTGAGTTTGAATGAAAGTGCAGTCAAGTCCCTTTCTTCCGTTCCATGTCCATCTTGTGTGGAAGGTAAACTAGCTAGAAAGCCATTCTTCCCTTCTAAGTCTCAGTCAAGGACCTCCTAGAGTTGGTCCACACTGATGTCTTCGGCCCCATGCGAGACCCTACTCGAAACGGTAAGAGATATTTGGTGTCTTTCATTGATGACAAGAGTCGTTTCTCGTGGTCCTTTTTCATCAACACCAAGGATGAAGTTCACAAGTGTTTCAAGCAATGGCTAGCACTTGTTGAGAGAGAGTCAGGGAAGAAGTTACTCACCTTGAGGTCGGATCGAGGAGGTGAGTACATGGGGAAAGCGTTTCACGGGGAGTTGTTGGCATTGGGCATCAAACAACAGTTCACTTGTCCCTATAGTCCTCAGCAAAATGGAGTGGCAGAGAGGTTTCATCGCACTATCCAGGCTATAGCTACCACTTTCCTTCAGTTCAAAGGCCTTGACAAGCTCTGGTGGGGTGAGGCAATCACTATGGCAATTTATGTTCGCAACAGGAGACCCACAAGGCCCTTACCGGAAGGTGTAACGCCATATGAGGCTTGGTTTGGAGTTAAACCAGATCTGTCTATGCTTCGTGTTTTTGGTTCCATGGCCCAATACCGTGTTCCAGATGCAAAGAGACTCAAGCTGGACAGCAAAGCTCATTGGGGCCTCTTCATCGGCATGAGCAATGAGAGCAAGGGATGGGTCCTTTGGGATCCTGTCACCAAGCGAGAAGTGGTTTCAAGGGATGTTGTCTTCTATGAAGACATGTCCCTTGCAGGTTGGCATAAGTTTTCCTCTTCCTCCTCTCTATCCTCTATCCAACAGGAACCAGCAAGCGCACCTGAGGAAACAACACAAGAGGAGGAAGAAGATGACACCGATTCTGACCATAGCGGACCGATCATCGATCTCCCTCAAGCCACGCCAGTGCCACCGGCAGCTACTCAACCAAGTGGAGATGAAGTTCAGCCATCAAATGAAGACAATCCACCGCAGCAAGTCACCGTTCCATCACCACCAAAGGAGCAGCAGCCAACAGTCACAAACCAGCCAGCTATATCAACACCAACCTCACAATTTCAACGCCAACCGGATCAGCCCACCACTACGCCATCAAACCCATCACCAGCCATCACTCCAGAGGCAACTACAGAAGCTCATCATCATCCCATGCAGCAGCAATCAACAGCTACAAGACCCCAAGTACCTACATCAACACCATCTACGACTCTTCCTAGCAACAAGTCAACCGTCACCGCAACACCTCGTTCTCATACCACACGTTCATCACTTGTTCCAACGTCAAGCCAGCTCATAGCACGAGGATCACTTCAGCGAGTCACCACCAACACCAGCTCCAACAGTCCACTTCTTCACCCAAGACCTTTCTCAACTTCACCCCCACGTCCCGGATTCGGTCGTCATCAGTTGCCACCATCTTCAACACCGAGCAACAACACCAACCAGCCCCAACCATCACCACCTCTCGACAAGGCAGCGTCATCATCAATTCCCAAGCTTCTAGTCTCAAGATCCCCACCAAGAGCATCTTCACAACCAACTATGCCGACAAACGTTTCAGCTTCACCGCCACGAGTCACCATACCTAATCCTCAAGTCAACACCGATAATCAAGATATTTCCACGCCAGGAGAAGAACAAGCAGCCGTGCCGCCGTCGCAGCCGATGTCGCAGCCGTTGTCTCAGCCGCAAATGACCGCATCAACGCAATCAAACACTGTGAGACCGAACCCTACCACTAATGTGTCTCAGCCAACTGAGGAGTTTGGTAAAGGTAAACGAGTCCGCAAGGTAAAAAAGCCCTTCAATTTCATGGTTGACATGTCATCAAGGTGCACATGTGAGGAGAGTGAGAATTGCATTCACAAGAAGGTAGAGGCAATATGCATGGCAGCATCACACCTTCCGCGAGAGCCCTTGAGTCGTCGTGAGGCAATGGCAAGTCCCGAAAGAGAGCATTGGTTGAAAGCCGAGGAAGAGGAGATTGAGAGTCTCATGAAGCGAGGTACATGGCGTCTTGTTGAGCCACCTCCAGGGAAGAAGGTAATTGGTGTCAAATGGGTGTACAAGATCAAGGTAAAAGGTGATGGTAGCCTCGATAGGTACAAGGCAAGGTTAGTGGCAAAAGGTTATTCCCAAATTCCAGGTCTTGACTTCACCGAAACCTTTGCCGTGGTAGCAAAGTACACCACGGTACGAGTCCTCCTCGCCATAGCCGCATATCTTGGTCTCCATATCCATCAAATGGATGTCAAGAACGCATTTCTCTACGGTGTCTTGGAAGAAGAGGTATACATGGCACAACCCGAAGGTTATGATGACGGTACGGGTCGAGTGTGTCGCTTGGTAAAGTCCCTTTATGGTCTCAAACAGTCCCCACGGGTTTGGTATCATGCTCTTGAGCAGGTACTTTTCAAGCATGGTTTCACAAGGTCCATGAGAGACAACGCTCTGTACTTCATGCACACGAGTGAGGGGGAGTACATTTGGCTCTTGGTATATGTCGATGACCTCCTCCTAGTCTCAGGTTCTCTTGATCTTCTCAACAAGGTGAAAGGTATTCTCACGAGTGCATTCACGATGACCGATCTTGGTGAGCCGAGTCATTATCTTGGTATGAACATTGTGAGAGATCGTAAGTCACGGTCCATCTTCCTATTCCAGCAAAGGTACATCCAAAAGGTCCTTGAGAGGTTTGGTCTTGATGATAGCAAGCCATCACCTACCCCACTTCCTTCCAAATTTGTCCCTTTGTCTTCAAATCAGCCCTATGAAGAGAGAGAGTCAAGCCTTGATATCATAGGTATTAAAGAGTTGTGTCTTGAGGAGAGTGAGCATCATGGTGAGAATTCACTTAAGGTATCCCCACAAGACCTAGCTCTGTACCAAAGTCAGGTTGGGTGTCTCATGTATGCAGCCCTATGCACAAGGCCCGACTTAGCATTCACGGTATCTAAGCTAGCTCAACACATGAGTGCCCCTTCACCTATTCATATGCATGCAGCCAAGCGAGCTCTTCGGTATCTCAAAGGTACTTCTAATCATGGTCTTCTCTTCCAAGCCAGCCCATATGCAAGCTCCCTCCAAGGCTTTACCGATGCAGATTGGGCGGGAGAATTGAGCACACGCAAGTCTACCGGCGGCTACATCTTCCTCATGTGTGGTGCCGCTGTTTCTTGGCAATCGCGCAAGCAAAGTTGTGTGGCACTTTCAACAACCGAAGCTGAGTACATGGCAATGACCGAAGGAGCAAGGGAGGCAATCTGGTTACGTGGACTCTTGGAGGAATTGAGGCAGCCGCAAACTCAACCAACTCCGCTCTACGTGGACAACACTTCAGCCGTAGCTCTTTCCAAGAACCCGGTTCATCATGGGCGTACAAAACACATCGAGGTGCAGTACCACTTCATTCGTGAGCAAGAGAAGGGAGTTCTCGCCGTCAACTTTTGCCGTTCATTCGATCAAGCAGCAGATTTCATGACCAAGGTTCTTCCACATGATGCATTCAACATGTGCAAGGCAAGAGCAGGCCTCATGACACTTCATGAAGCAGTGGAGCAGTTTGAGGAGAATGAGGAGTGTGAGGGGAAGAGACGTGGGCAGCAGCATGAAGTGTATGCTAAGGAGATGTGAAAGGAGCATCAGCATGGGTGTATGTGTGCTTCGGGTCTGGTGCGAGGGGGAGTGTTGGAGAATCGAATTTCTGCCGCCCCAGCCCTTTGCACACAAGCAGCAGCAAGGGGGAATGTCGGCGATGAATCAGAGCTTCGGGAAGTACTTCGAAAGTTCCACCACCAATCAGATTTCAGCCAAAGACTCGATATAGTTCAAAGCTGCCTTCAAACCGAAGTGTTGGCAGTTTCTACAGGTTTCTACACATCAGAATCAGCTACAACAGAAATATCCAGAGTTTTCTTATTCATGCACCTCATGTGGCACTCAAAGTCACTCAAGGTCCATCCAATCTAGATTGTGCCCAAGTTACCAGGGAAGTTACATTGTCTATCAGCCTAGTTTGAGCTTTCAATCTGTCTTGTTTGTGATGCCTATAGAGTTGTGCTTTAGTGGGCTTGTTAATCTTGCACATAGTGAAGTTTTACCTCATCCAGTCAATTCCAGCAGCCCTGCTAAGACTTTCCAGCCAAGTTTCCAGCCCTCCAGTAGTCACAGCTACTCTGTTTTACAAGTCCTCCATCCGTCCTCCCCTCGACAAACAAGTACCCGCTGAGAGCCATTATTCCCGCACTGCCATCGATCTCGGAGCTTTCCTCTCTTGCGCTTAGCTCTCAAACCCATGTGCACAGCAGCGTGCGTCCTCGTTACCAGCGTTGCTGCATCCCAACGCCTCACGCGCCAGTCGCTCTTTGCGCGTTGTGCGGCGCCATGATGCGAGCAATAACTGCGAGCTGCTGGAATGAGATTAGGTACTGCCGCTACGGTACAGGGAGCGCATTCCTTTCCCCCCACCCAAGCCTCACCCCCTGCTCTCGAAATTTACTTCCTTGGCGATCGGACGACGAGATCGGGCGAGATTGGGCGAGTAACTTGTTTGATATTTGAAATCGCGCTGCCGTTCACACCAAGTACTCAACTTCGAGTCGGACTCTACCGTAGCACGCGCTAGCGTGGACACCAGAAGCCCTTTCCGCATGTTGCGCGTTGTGCGGCGGCAATAACGGCGAGCTGCTGAGAGGAGACCATGGCGAACCACCTCTGCAGCTCTCTCCACCTCATCGCCTGCTGCGAATCCCTTCACGATCCCTCGCCTCCTCCTCGTACTTCGCCGCAATACTTAAATCGCCGCCATTCCACCATTCGCCACCACCAACCGAGTTACATCTCCCACTGCTCGAAAATCACCTGAATCTGATCCGCATCATCGCTCGGGGCTACTCTTAGAATCTGACACCGCTTTCACGCTCTCTTATAACGCTCGTTGCCATGGCCACTCTTCGCTCCGCGTTCATCCTCGCATTGGTCCTCGTCTCTCTCCCTGCGCTCTATGCCGCGGCTGCGCCACTGCGGGGTGACGTGGCTGGTGGAATTGCAGGCGTGGACGCGGCGAGTTGGGGCCGCAAGCTGCTGGAAGCGAGCGGCGGTGACGTGGACGTGGGTGGCGAGGAGGAGGAGGTGGGGGAGGCGACGGACGGGCTGGACGAGGCGGTGCAGGTGCTGCTGAGCTGGAAGAAGATCAAGAACGGGATCAAGAACGCGGCGAATCAGGCGGCGAAGAGCGAGGCGGGGCAGAAGGCGGGAGGGTTGGTGAAGAATGTGGTGAAGAAGGGCGGCAAGGAGGCGCTCACGGCTGCAGTCAACGCGTTCCGCAGCGGCAAGGGCGCCAAGGGTGCCCTGCAGGCGGGCTCTGGCTCGTTCGTCAAGACCGCGAAAACGATGATCTAAGTGGGAGAGGGGAGGGGAAGAGGCACTGCGGAGTGGAGATCTGCAGCGGGAGACAACGCTGCTTCTGCTGCTACTAGTGCCTCCTCTGCTGTTGCTGCGGTTGCTGATGTGGCTTACAGGTGGCACGGTGTGCAGAATTGGTTGCTGAATAATTCAGGCTTGGTGATGCTGGGAGAGGTATATGTGTGTGTGTGTGTGGGTGGAGGGATTAGGTGGTGTGTGTGAGTGAAAGGGTTAGGTGGCTTGGTAGTGGATCCGGGCGTGCCTTTGGTTGCTTGGTGATGCTGCGTGTGTGGGTGTGTGGGGCCGGGTGTGGGTTGTGATGCTGGTGTGGTCTGTGGCTTTTGTGATGCTGTAATTTCAGATGCTTCTTCTACCATAATTCTGTTGAAGCTAGTGTTGGTTGTGGAAACGTTGTGTATGCTGTATTTGACACACAGCAGGAACTCACTAAACACATTAGGCATTAGCCTTGCACAAGCATTTGGATCGTCTCTCGAGATTCGACATACGGTAGCACTCGTACTAATTGGTAATACCGTACTGAACGTAGGAACCATAATGAGATTAGAATGTGAAGAAGTTTGATGCAGTCTTGTAGCAGTACGGACTTGTACCGAGTACCGTCATCGCCCGGATATAAGACAGTGTTGAATAGTAGACAGGGGTTGTCTATTATACGGGTGTCTCTTATAAACAGGCTAGCCTTTTTATACGACACCTATTTGTGTGTACGAGATAAGACATATGTGTCTTATAATCGAAACTGCAATGTATTATAGTGAAAATTGAAATACGGCGTACATTTTTACCCTTGCGACACGCGAATTCTGCCACGTGCTTACTCACATACTACCAAATTTGACTCTGCAAGTATTCGGGATGACGTGGCGTCCCGAACAATGGTTGCCGAAATGGCACCTTCGCAATATCGACACTCTTAATGAGAAACTCTTTTCAAGTAGTTTAGAAAAGTTTCCATTTATAAGACTTATAAGACACCCAAAACCTCCCCAAATACAAGATAACCCAAGCATTTTTTTTAGTGTATGAGATAAGAAATATATGTCTTATATCCGGGCGATGACGGTAGTTGTTGTAACGGGTCACTGTTTGCCGTACCTTGCTAAAGCCCCCGACCCAAATTGTTCATGTTTTTAAAACATGTCGGGGAGGGAGTTCTTCCAATTGGGTTGTGGCGAGAGTGTCAGAAACTAACGAGCAGGGATGATAGCATTGACATCAAACTGAGTACAAGTACTAACCCTAATTGGGTTGTACCCCATATAGGCTACCCCACTACAACCTACACAACATAAGTAGCATTATGGTTTGACACACCCCATAGGCAAAGTGGGGAAGAACAAGGGGCCACAAGACTAGTCAAGAAAAGCAAAGCAAGCTCAGGGTGGATCACGAAGTCACCACACACTCTGAGCACAAGCAAATGGCCACAAGGCCGATCCATATGCAGAGTTATATAAAAGACAGCAAAAAGTACAGTGATCTGTCAAACTATATATGCTAGTTCTGTATAGGCTATAGTGGGGTAGCCCATATGGGGTACAATCCAATGTTAGGGTTAGTACTTGTACCTACAATGCTTTCAATGCAGTCATTCTAGCTTCTCATTCTGACATGGTTTCAGAGCAGTAGGTCTGTAGGACCGTTTTTTTTCGGGCCCACCATTCCGACTGCGGTTACCACGTTACCCCACTGCCCTACCCTGCGCCGCGCTGACCCTGCGAGTGCCACCTGCGCACTGCCCCAGTTGGCCGCGCACCACTGCTGCAGCGCGCGTTTTCTCTAGCGCGCTGCCCCGCCGACCGCCTGTAGCCCCGCACGCCGCCTGCCCCTGCCGCGGCTGCCTACTACACCCCGCGCGCCGGCCGTCGCGCTGCCTCGCAGCCCCGCGCGCCGCCCGCCCTACTGCCGCGGCTGCCCGCTACGCCCTGCGCCCGGCCGGCCGCCTGCAGCCTCGCGCGCCGCCTGCCACAGCCGCAGCCGCCCGCTACGCCGAGCGCGCCGCCCGCCCTGCTGCCCCGCCGGCTGCCTGCTGCCCCGCGCGCCGCATGCCACAGCTGCGGCCGCCCGCTTCGCCCAGCGCGCTGCCCGCCCTGCTCCCCCGCCGGCCGCCTGCTGCCTCGCGCGTCGCCTGCCACAGCCGCGGCCGCCCGCTACGCCCAGCGCGCCGCCCGCCCTGCTGCCCCGCCGGCCGCCTGCTGCCCCGCCGGCCGTCTGCTGCCACGCCGGCCGCCTGCTGCCCCGCGCGCCGCCTGCCACCGCCGCGGCCGCCCGCTACGCCCCGAGCTGCCCGATTCAGTTTGAGATCTGGCTCGATGACCTGCAGCTGTTCCTAATGAGCGATAGCAAGGACAATGTCTCTCTCTTTGACCACACGTCTGGTGCCTCATTCGCTTCTGCTGCCACCGCTGAGCTTAGCGCTCGTTCCCAGTGGCAGACTCGTGACGCTACTGCTCGCCTAGCCGTTCGCAACCACCTGCCGTTAGCCGAACTCACGCATTTTGGCGAACACAAAACCGCTAAGGCCATGTACGACGCTGTAGTTGCTCAATACTCCTCCCCTGCCACTGCTGCACTTAGCCGCCTCATGCTGCCCTACCTGTTTGCTGAGCTATCCACCTTTGCCACAGTTGCCGATCTGCTCTCACACCACTCACTGCACCTGTTGCAGTCTCTCTGGCTGACCCCTCAAGGGGCCCAGTTCTTGCACGGTCCACCACTATGCTCCCATGCCCGGCGGTTCCGTCTGGCTCACTGTCAGGCCTCCACCTCCCCTCGTTCTCTACGAACCTGGTGAGCAACGCAATTCTCCAAGACCAGTGGGTTGACACCTTTACCCCTGGAGGACAGCGTGTGGCGATCTGTACGTGCTCCCGGACCGGCCGCCACCTGGCCACGTTTACCCGTCGACCAGGGCCGAATCTTTACACACTAACGACTGCGCCTCCTCACGTAGCTGCTACTGGTCAGGTGTCTGCGTCAGGTCAGGTAGCCTCCCCTTGTTCGTGTCGCTCCCTGTCGCACTAGACTCTTCTTTGGGACCACCGTCTGGGTCACCCCTCCTTGCCACGTCTACGTGGCATGCACTGTCGCCTCCTTGTGTCTGGTCTTCCCAGGTCTCTCCCTCCCCTCCCTGCCTCGCCTGCGCCGCCCTGCCTTCCTTGCGTCGAGGGGCGGCAGCGCGCCGCTCCTCACTCCTCAATTCCCCCGACAGAGGCTCCCCTGCAGACCCTCCGCATGGACGTGTGGGGCCCAGCCCGCGTTCGTGGGCAGGGCGGCGCGCAGTACTTTCTGCTGGTTGTCGTTGACTACTCGCGTTACACCACGGTCTTCCCCTTGCGCACCAAGGGTGAGGTCCCTGATGTCCTGATCCCTTGGATCCGAGCAGTTCGTCTCCAGCTCCACGAGCGGTTCCGCCAGGACCTCCCTGTCCTGCGTCTGCACTCTGACAGAGGTGGTGAGTTCTCCTCTGACCTCTTGCGGGCCTTCTGTCAGGGGGAGGGCATCCTCCAGTCGTTCACGCTTCCGGGCTCACCGCAGCAAAATAGGGTTGCTGAGCACCGCATTGGCTTGGTCATGGAGATCGCTCGTACCTCCTTGATCCATGCGGCGGCTCCCCATTTTCTGTGGCCGTTTGCGGTCCGGTACGCCGCGCAACAGCTCAACCTCTGGAGGTAGTGGAGCTGCCAGGACTGATGGTGCTACTGGAGCTGGAGGCCCTGGAGCTGGTACTTTCGACCATGGAGTTGGAGACCCTGGAGCTGGAGGTGCCGGTTCTGGGGGTGTACTACTGGAGGCACTGGAGCTGGAGGCCCTGGAGCTGGTGCTGTCGACCCTGGAGCTGGAGGTGCTGGTGCTGGAGGCACTGGAGATGGAGACCCAGGAGCTGGACGTGATGGAGCTGGAGGCGCTGGAGCTGGAGGCGCTGGCGCTGGAGGCGTCGGGGCTGGCGGCCCTCGAGCTGGAGCTACTAGTCCTGGATGTGCTAGTCCTAAAGGTACTGGAGCTGCCGGAGCTGGTGGTGATGCTGGTGTCAACATATTTTATATATGTGTTGTTTAGGTTAGTCTAGGTGTTACATTTCTACTTCCTTGCATGATTAGGGTTTGCTATATCTAGGGTTGTACTTCACATTTTCTATCAATTCATTATTATCGTAACATGGTATAGAGCTAGGTTCCCCCTAGGCGATTTTCCCCTAGGAGAAATTTCTCTTGATAGTCTATGGGCCCACCACCCGCGCGCCTCGTTGCGACCCGTAGCCCAAAGCGCCCTGCCCCGTAGAGCCCGAGTAGACCGCGCCCCCCGTCGCCATCGCGCGTCACCCGTTTCTGCCCTGCGCCCCACCCGTTTTTGCCGTGCGTCATTCAGTTTTCTGTCCCCCAGCCCTCTAGCGCGCAGCAGACGAACGCGCGTAGCTGCGCGCGCAGCCTTAGTCGCACCGCAGCTCCGCGCTAGTACGTCACGACCGCACACACGTGCAGCAACAGCCGCGCGCACGTACAGCCCACCATCTTAACCGCCCCCAGACATGAAAACCCGCCAACCCAGACCTGAAATCCGCCGCCGAACCTGGAAACCCGCCGCCCCAAACCTGAAAACCGCCGCCCCAGACCTAACAACCGCCGCCCCACCTGGAAACCTGCTGCCCCACCCGTTCCAGGCACCTCACCCGGAATCAGCCGCCCCACCCAGTACTCTCCACCGCGTTGAACCGCACAGAACCGCACAGAACTGCACATTACCGCACAGAACCGCACAGAACCGCCGCCTCACCTTCCCCACCCGTAGCCCGCTGCCTTAACAGCTGCCCCACCTGAAACCCGCCTCCCCATGAGCTACCACATCCGCCGCCAGTAGCCCCAGCCGATTACACTGCCGCCAGCAGCACCAGCATCAGCATAGGCTGCCCCCAGCGCACCAGCAGCAGCGTAGGCTGCCCCCAGCACAACCAGAAGCAGCATATGCTGCCGCCAGCGCACCAGTAGCAGCATGGGCTGCCCCCAGCAAAACCAGTAGCAGCTAAGGCTGCCCCTAGCAGAGCCAGAAGCAGCATAGGCTGTCCCCACCAGAGCCAGAAGCAGCATAGGCTGCCCCCAGCGAACCAGCAGCAGCATAGGCTGCCCCCAGCGCACCAGCAGCAGCTTAGGCTACCGTCAGCGCACCATCAGCAGCATTGGCTGCCCCCTGGAGAACCATTAGCAGCCTAGGCTGCCCCCCAGCAGAACCTGAAGCAGCACAGGCTGCCCCCAGCGCACCAGCAGCAGCTTAGGCTGCCCCCAGCAGAACCAGCAGCAGCATAGGCTCACATGGCGTGTACTAGGGTTCTACAGCAGCAAAGCCAGCCGCAGCACTCCC